AACAAAATCTGAACCATTTTATTTTACAGCTTTCTCCTTGATGCCAGTGATCATGGTGACTATCACAATAGGAGTGGCAAAATCAAACTGCCATCTTTATACTTGTAAGATACATGCTCTCATTGAGCTACACTCCTTTAACCTAGGGTAGGAGGTTATATGGGAAAAAGTTCCCATTTAAAAAAACAACAAATTCAGTTGGTCAACAAAAATTAAAGAGAAACAGAGAATTTATGAAAACGATTATACAAAATAAACACTATTTTACAATTTTCCTCTTAACATCAGAGCCCAATGCAATTTCAGGGCCATAAACCCTGCTCTGAATTGTGACCTCCTGTGCTTGAAACAAGTTGCAGATTCTCATTGCTTTGATGTTTACATGGCACTACAATTCATCAGCAGAGTTGCGACTTGATCACAGTGCCATCCTTACCCTAGAGGTGGGATCATTGCAGGTAACTTTTCGGCCAGTGTGCCAGCAGCCATCTCTGGTCTGGGAAGATTAGTGAAAGTGTCATTGATGATTGATGCAGTCTCGGTAAACTCCAGGGCCATACACTCCCCCTGGAGTTCTGTTGCATCATTGTATAATCAGAGAGCCATGGTCAGATTAGCCTTTTGTACATGAGGGATGTGTGAGAATGACTGTAAGTGTTCAAGGCAGCATGAGTGCTTCAACACTTGTAAATTTCCAATAATCAAACATTGCATATTTGAAATGTTTCATATTCAATGTTGTGCTGCCTTGACATCTTGTAATTATATAGTAATATTAATATTATTAATATTAATGATTACGAAAAGCAAAATATTATCAATGAAAATCTTGTAATTACCCAGCAAGATCTGCTCTGCATTTTGATTCCAATTAAAATATTTATAAACTAAAATAAAAATATCAATACAAATAAAAAAAGTACCTCTGGTTAGTTATTAACATGTTTTCTTTAGGAGACCCAAACCAAACCAAACAAAAACACTTACGTTTTGTCACCTTGGACTCTGTCAAAAAATAAATTGTTTTTTCCAAAAAAAAAAAATCAATCAATTTGCATCTGTCCTACCAAAAAAAAAACCAATGGGATAAATAATTAATGTGTACATATTGATCAAACAACAAACTTCTTTTATTTTAATTTTTTTAAAAAAAAAAGTCCAATTATAAAAATTTAAGAAGACAAGAAAATAATTGGGTAAGTGTTTTAAGGATGGTGGTGGTGGTTATTGCCCACCACTTGTCATTACTCTAGTTTATATATAAAGATTGGTGGTTATTGCAATCGTTGCCATGCATCATCACACTAGTTAACTATAAACTTTTTTTTTTTATTAGTGAAAATAAAGAAAATGAAGATGAAAGGGGTATTTATTCAATAAATTATTATTTTAGTATTCAATATTGTAACACTAATTCAACATAAAATAATTTTATTCTCTGCACAAACAATCATCCTCTTTAGAGTTGGAAAAGGAAGGCTGAGGAGTTGGAATTGGAGGTGATAAATTTGAAAGAAAAACTAAAAAGTTTGGAGAAAGGTAAAGATCTCTAATGTAAATGTTGGGTTATACATTGAAGGCTGATAAATATTCTAGTTATTATAAAAAATGTCAATCATTCACTGATTCATACAAAAAATTATTTTCCACTCATTCCATTTCGTTTATTTATTTATTTGTTCATGAGACATTTGGTATATTGCTTGCAACATTGACTAATCTGTGCTTTTTTTTTATCATCCTACATCATTTTTTGTAATTATAGTTGATGATCTAAAGGAAGAGAAACCTGGGAATAGAGAGTTATATAAGAATTCAGGTTTATCTTCAATGACATTTTGTTTCTTTAACCCTGCTCAATTGTTGACACTAACTGATATTTTATACAGATCTGAATCGTGCTTTCCAAATAGATTTCAAGGACCATGCCAATTATGTGTCATTTTTAGAGAATCAATTAAGCAAAGTTTCCAATTCTTCTGAAAATTACTACAATTACTTATCTGTTGTTCAATCATCAGGATATGATAAAACAAGGTCCATATGTGAGCTTGCAAAATCACACCCTTTAATATATATATGTTTTCGTGATAAAGGTTCAACTGGATATCCTCCAGCAACACCAAAGAGTGATGTTATGCTAAAAGAAATTAAAGAAGCAACGGGTATAGAAAGTGCAGAAGAAATGGCAAAGATATGGCTTAAATCAATGATATTTGTGTTTTATGAGATGAGATTGGAAGAGTCTTCAAAATTATTGACAAATGCTGTAAGATGATATATTCTTCTCTGCTAATGTTGTGATATGTGATTAACATGTTATTGTTTAATATTTTTTTTAAATAATAGGAGCTGGTAAACAATTTCTGGGAGAAGGTTCATTCAACAAAAGAGATCTTAAAATCAAACTGGGATTAAGGTTTCTGGTCCAAACTGTTTTCTCAAAGCCCAAACTAGTTTGGCAATTTGGACTTCTCAACATTTTTTATAAGCATGAACATTAAAAAACTATATGAATCAACTTGTTTTAACTTAAACAACTTTAAAATAATTTCGCCCAATTTTGGCTAATAACAAAAAGTAGTTTGGGCTTATAAAAAAATAATTTTTGCCCAAAGTATTTGGGCAATTTCGGCTACTAATAGAAGCAGTTTCGACCAGAAACCTTAACTGGGATGCTCAAAGTTTTGAAAAAATTGATAACAAAACTACAAAAAAAATAGCCATTTTATTTGATGAATTTTCTGCCTTTCTTGGTATGATTTTATTTCTATTTTAGAACAGGTTGAGATTTATTCTTATATTAAGATTTTATTTTTTTAATAGATATTAAAATAAACCAAGCTTATAAAGATAATCAAGATAATGACAATAAACCTTTTTTGAGCTTTATATTTCTTTTCAAAATATGCTTATGGCATTCTTACTGATACAAATTCTTCTGTTGCTAACCTTGCACCATCAAAAGATAAAGACAGTTCAGTAAGTGTACACAAAATAATATTCCTATGGCAACATGACAACTTTACAAGTTATTAAAGTTTTTTAATTTTTGGTTTTACAGGCAAGGAAATATGATTGTAATATCCACAAACCATTTATTTACATAGTAGCACAGGATTGCTTAAGGTATGATGTCTCATCACTTTTATTTGAAATGGTTTACATGCATTATTATTTGCTTCTGATAACTTTTCTTACAACTTGGTTTTATATAGTGGCATAGACCAGATTCCACATGATGAAGATATCTCAGCACATGATATTATTCAGTTTGGTAGGCCTCTTTGGGTATTTAATTGGGTAGCTAGCAAACATTCAGATAATCAATTTAAATTTCGTGATGTAATAAATCTTGCAAAAGCCAAACTTCTTGGAAGTACCTCTAGCTGGGATAGTGGTAAATTTAATAGTCAATGGAAGAGGACTGTCACTCTTGGATTAATCTCATTATACTAGTATAATGACATAATTTGTCAACTTTTTAGAATTTATTCTGTTATAACGACATGTGATAATCATTGACCATTATAGATGTCCTGCATAAGATTTCTGGTTGAAACTGCTTCTATTAGTAGCCGAAATTGCCCAATACTTTGGGCAAAAATTATTTTTTTATAAGCCCAAACTACTTTTTGTCATTAGCCGAAATTATTTTAAAGTTGTTTAAGTTAAAACAAGTTGATTCATATAGTTTTTTAATGTTCATGCTTATAGAAAATGTTGAGAAGCCCAAATTGCCAAACTAGTTTGGGCTTTGAGAAAACAGTTTGGACCAGAAACCTTAGTCCTGCACTATAGCACTATATAAAAATGAACAAATTGAAACAAAATAAAATTTAGTTGAGGATCACATCCATATTAAGTAACACAATATTGCTGACTTTACTATCTATGAAATGACTAGGAAATATCACATGGCCAAAAAAATTTTATTGCATTTTTATTGTAAAATTTTTCTCCAAAAACATTGTTGTGGAGCAATAAGTTGTGGGATTAGGTGTCTTGCATTGTAGCAGAAACTTTTTTATTATAAGTTGCATCCAAATAAGGTAAAGCAATTTTTGTATACACATGAAATTAGGATAAAGCAAAAGATTAAAAAGGAAAAAAAAGCCAACATTACTAATTTAGTTATTGAAAGTAAACTCTTTAATCCATTAATAAAATGGGTTTGTGATAATTTATATTGGTAGAAAAATATTAATAGCACAAGTTTTAGCTATGTACAAAAAAATGTCATATTTATACATGCAGCCCAAATTGGTTTGGTAGAAAGTAGAAATTAATTATGGCATTCACTATTAAAAACATAAGTGTAACACCCCTTTACTATATGTGTAACCCCCATTATGACAGTGTCAAAATATTTTGGGCTGCATGTATAGTCACAGTATCATTCATATATAGATTTTGAAGTAACTAATATAGATACAGCATCTAAAATCTGAACTTGAAATTATGTGTGCTGACCACACATTATTATCAAACTAATGTGCGGGCAATTTTACATAAGTAATAGAATAAATGATAAAACAATTGATAAATTTTGTTTATACTTTTCAAAAAACATTGTCACACCTTTCTATTTATTAGGGCGCTGACATATATTTTAGGGGGTGGGGGATAACAGAAAATCTTAGGTCACACATAATCTCATAAATAACGTGATCATAATGGCTTC